TCCCCAAAGAAATGTAGCTAGTTTCTTGGCTAAAAGTCAAAATGTCTTTGGGCCTGTCAGCCACGTACTCTGTCCCAAAAGCCAAAAATGTCAAAAGTATTTGGGAGCTTGTATCTATTCCTTAAAAGATTTTAGGGTTACCTCTTCAGAGGGGGGAATGTTGGAGGGGAAGGAGTGGGCATGGATTTGATCAAAGCACCTAATATACATGTATGAAATTCTCAATAAAGTTTTTTTTAAAAATTAAAAACAAATTAAGTGAAAAAAAAAAGACTTTTACCAAATTTGCAACCAAAAAAAGTTACTGTTTGTAATGTAAACAAGCTCACTAAGTCACATGCTTGGACACCTGACCTTGATCCTTCAGAACCCCTCCTCTCTCCACCCTCCACACAAGGCAGTGTATGAACACATGCATGCATGCTTTACATATCAAGGCACTGCTTTTGTCAATGCAGACAATGAAAGAAATTTAGTGTGTGTGATGTTCTAGGTCTAGGGATCAGAAGGTAAGAGTCTTTGATAAGAGAAGGATAGACCCGATTTCTACTTCCCCATTTCATGGTAGAGATACTGTTTCAATAAAGGAATTCAAGAAATCCCTTGCTCAGGAGCACAGCTCTGAGAGATATCTGAAAGAACAGGTGCTCGGCAGTTTGGGTCCACTCTTGTCCTTATGCTAAAAGACCGTCTCTTTTTAGGCATCATTGTAATGTGGCCTAGTACTGCTGCATCCCCCAGCCCTCCTTGTTCCTCTCTCTCTCTCTCTCTCTCTCTCTCATTCACTCTCACTCTCTCTATCTTCTTTTGAGACAGAGTATCATGTATCCCAGGTTGGCCTGGAACTAACATATAGCTGAGAATTGCCTTGAACTCCTAATCCTTCTGTCTCTACTCCCAAGTGCTGGGATTACAGGCACATGTCATCACACCCAGCACCTAATACAGATTTAAAAACGTTTTCTGAGTACTGGTATGATTGAGAACACGTGACAAGAATATGAAAGATCTTTCTAATTCTGTGTGTACATTTTAAAAGATTTTATTTATTTTTATTTTATGTGTATGAGTGTTTTGCCTGCATGTAGGTAAGTGCACCTCATGTGTACTTGGTGCTTGTGGAGACCAGAAGAGGGTGTTGGATCCCCTGGAACTGGCGTTAAGGATGAGTGTTAGCTACCATGTGGGTGCTGGGAACTGAACCCAGGTCTTCTGCAAGAGCAGCCAGTGCTCTTAACCACTGAGCTATGTCTCCAGTCTTACTACACATTCCCCCTATTTTTGAGAGGTCTTATTACTATATAGCCCCAAATGGCTTGGAACTTGCTGTGTAGACCATGCTGGCTTCAAACTCCCAGAGACTGGGCTGCCTTTGCCTCTGAGTGATAGGATTAAAGGTGCGTGCTACTATGCCAGGCTAATTAAAAAAAATATTTTTATTAATTCTTTGAGAATTTCATACAATATATTTTGATCATATTCACTTAATTTTAAAAACTTTTCATTTTTGAGACAAAGCGTCACTCATACAGCCTAGGCTAGCTTCAAACTTGGTATATAGACAAGGATAACCCCAACTGCTCCTGCCTCTGCTTCCTGAATATGGGGATTGTAGGTGTGCCACCACTCCTGGCATACCTTACAAATTTTTTAAACTTTAAACTTTAAGTTTTAAAAGCCAGAGACAGTCATACTCATCATCAAAAATTCTTGACATGCCCAATAATATGGCTGAAACTCAGGAGCATTATGTTAAGTGGCAGAGGTCAGACACAAAAGGCCACAGGCTTCTGTGGGTGGCAGACAAGTGCCTCCAAGCAAGGAGGTGCCCATGGAGGTGGTGGCTGCCCTACCTGATCCTTTCTCTGGTGAAAGGGATAGTCTCGTTGTCTTTCTTCCAGTAGAACACAGGTGGGGGCATGCCGACCACGCGGCACTCCAGTCTCACCGGGTGGCCCTCAGGAACTCCGCAGTTTTGGAGTTTCTCCAGGATCACGGGTGCTTTCTTCACTTCTTTAGCTGACAAGAGAAGGGATTTTCTGTTTGAATAGCAGCAAGTACCTCAAAGTCACTGCATCCTGGACCATGGCAGAGGAGATGCACACAGCCTCGCCTCTACATGGAACACTTATTGTGCCTCTTGTTGAGTGATTCTGCCTGTTAAAGCTTCATAAAAGGGGCTGGAGTGATGGCTCAGTGGTTAAGAACACTGATTGTTCTTGCAGAAGACCCGGGTTTGAATCCTAGCACCCGCATGGTAGCAAACAACTGTCCCTAACTCCAGTCCCAGGGGATCCAACAGCCTCTTCTGACCTCTGCTGGCATTGCAGGACATGGGTGCACTGACCTACATGCAGGCAAAACACACACATAAAATTAAAAAAAAAAAACAAAACTTCATAAAAGTCCCCTAAAAAATGAAATGAGCAGGCCATATCACATAGCCACATGAACATGAGGCAGAAGAGCATAGGGGACAGTTGAGTAACCTGGGACTCTACTTGGATTGGGCTAGAAGTTAGTGACAGTCAATTAAATAGTGCATTGATGCATTGATTGCTGTTGTCAACTATTGCAATGGCTCCCATTTATTGTGCGTGCACTGTGAACAGGAACCATGTTCTATTTTTACATTACTATACAGCTTGGAAAACAATGCAGAAAATATGGTCCTTACAGATGGGCAGAGCAAGGGACTCAGGTATCCCGTCAGAGCTGAATGTCTGTATGATCACTTTGAAGGGAGTTATGCTTAGGGGTCCCACAGTCAACCTTACCTACTACAGTGAGCTCCAGAGTAAAGGAATTCTCTCCGGTTTTGTTGGTAGCCACACATGTATAGGTCCCTGCATCTCGCTGGGTGAGTGGATCGATGAGCAGGGAGTGGACTCCTGTCTCTCTGACCAGCATCTTATGGGAGGCATCTTGTAGCACAGGTTGGCCATTAAGCAGCCACGTCAGCTCTGGGGGAGGTAAGCCACTCACCTAATAAACAACGGAACAGCTGAGGCAAATGACAGACTGATGACAGGCAGCTTTATTTAGTGGTTGAATTCTTTAGCCTTGTTTAGCACCAAATATATATAGTTAGGGAAAACAGAGGGGAGAGAAGCTGTTCACAGCAGCACCGGTGGGGAGAGGTCTGAATGAATGGTGGTGTGGATTGGAACGGTGTGGAATCTTGACCCCGGTTCATGACTGATTCACGTGATTGTGCCCTGGTGTAGAATAAAGCTAGAGCTAAAGAGAGAAATCGGCCTGAAGCTTCATCATCACAGGAGATACTGGCTTACAAGCCTAATAAGCAGGGTTAGGGAGAAGTCAGATATGAGACCAGGGCGCTCAAATTTTGCCCATGGAGTGTCTAAAACTCGTGATGCCTAATTACAATGATTAAACCAGAATCCCTGGGGATGGCAATTTTTAGAGCTTAGAGAGGAAGAAGAGCATCACTCTGAACAGCACTTATGCAGCATTGTGGGATAAGATCCGTGAACAGAAAGGGGCTCCCCCTCCCCAAATGCTTAATCTCAGGCTGATTTGTACCTAAATTTTCCATAACACTGTACACACTTGTTGGGGTAGAAGTGATGACTTCCATGTCTTATTATACAGAGACTCCTGCCTGCTCTGATGCAGCCTCCTGATTCTGACTGAGAAATAAGAGTGCAGAATCTCAAAGGCAGCAGAGGCGGCTGAGTGTGAGAAAACACTGCTTTTCACACGGCCCCAGAGCTGTCTTCTCCCGCCTACAGTTTTCCAAAGTTTCTCCCCTTCCAACCAACATCAAAGATGCAAAATGCAAACTTCTGTCTTCCTGGTGCTAAAGGCTTTCCAGGCACTATGTGGAAAAAGTCCCCGTGCCACACCTTCTTTGGTTGTCTTTGAAAATGAAGAGCTGTCTTGATATAATATCTATGTAAATATTTTTTATTAAGGTATAACGATTTTAAATTTTACTGGCATATTTTTGTCCAGTATTTTTAAAATTACACGCTTTAAAGTAGCCTATGGAGAGAAAAATTTCTCTCCTTTGTCCAAAACCCCTTCATCTAGAAGAAAACCCCCACAAAACAAATAGAAAAAAGTTCAAACAATCAAATGCGAAATCTGAACAGATGTGGAGCTAAGGGCAGGGTGTACCTGAACTCAGGGTTCAGAGTGTACCTTACAGTCCAGCCGGCAGAGACGGCCCTCGTGAGCCACCATGTCCCCAGGAGCCTGAAGGAAGTGTGGCCGGAAAAAACGTTCCTGTAGGGGTTCTTTGTCTCTTTCTTGCACTCTGGACCTCCCCCTAGAACAAGCATGTTCAGCCATCAAGACAAAAACCAATTTACAAACGTATAACAATAGCCATAAGCATTTAGGTATGGCTATAGGTCTATAAGGAGAAGAGATTTTTTAAATTTTGAGACAGGGTCTCAGACAGCCCAGACTGGCCTTGAACTTATGTAGCCAAGGATGACCTACAATTTCTGATTCTCCTGTCTCTCCCTCCTGAGTGCTGGGATTATAGACATGTGTCTTTATGCCTAGTTTATGTGGTGCTAGGGATGGAACCCAGGGCTTCATGCATGCTGGGTTAAGCACGCTACCAAATCAGCTACATCCCCAGAGTGGAAGGGACTTGCCAAACTAACAACAAATAAAAAATAAAAAAATACTGTGTGAAACTGATGTAAAGGAAGAAGAAACAACAACCTGCCCCCCAGACCCAAGTGGTAAGCATCCCACACAGCAGGATTATCTCTGAGATCTATAATCAAACAGGCTTTAGTTTCTTTCCCTCTGAAGTCACCCAGCCCTCACTGTGGGCTTCAGCAGTTGTCGGAAGTCATCAAAACAAACAAATCAGTCCTCTGTCTGAACCTCAAATAAGAGCCAAAAGAGGCCTGTTAATTATCCGGCACAAGGCCACTGTGATCCTTGTGTCTTTGAGTAATAAGAATTGGACTGGCTATATATTATAACCAATCACTAAAGATGACCATGAACTTGAACTCAGTAAGAGCGACCAATAATAGTAACAGATGTTCTTGAAAAAAAGAAGAAAAAGGAAGAGGAGGAGGGAGAGGAGGGGAGGAGGGGGAGAGGTATAGTTGCAACACAGTGAAATACTGTTTCTGAAGCATGGATCACTATTTTTGTTCCTTTGGTAAGTCATAATTAATCAGTCTCAGCCTCAGCAATGATGGAATGCTTTGCCAAGACTTTGTGATACCATAAGATACAAGGGTCTTCTTAGTGGTTAGTAAAATCTAAGAAGAAAAAAAATAGTCCTTAGAGTAGAGACAACAGTAAAAATATATTGAATATTAAAAGTTTCTGTTTCGTGATAGAAAAAGTGGTCATTTAATTCAAAAGGCATCACTGATATATTATGTGCAAAGGTGCCACTGATGGTTACAAATTTTGAATCATTAAAACTGTGTCAAAGGGGCTGGGGATGTAGTTCAGTGACTAAATGCTTGCTTAGCATGCATCAAATTCTGGATTCAGTCCCCAGCACCATATAAACTTGGCGGTGGGGGGGAGTAGTGGTGCAGGCCTGTAATCTCAGGCCTTAGGAGGTGAGAGCAGAAATATCAGGAGTTCAAAGTCAACCTCAGCTATATAGTGAGTTTGAGGCTAGCCTGGGATACACGAGGCCCTGTCTCAAAAACCAAACCGAAACAAAAAAGTACCAAAGAGCAGTGTTTCTCAAACTTAAATGCGCTTGTGGGTCACTTAGGGATTCTGTTACAATGCGTGTTCTGACTGATTCAGCAGCTCTGGGGTAGGGCTTGGAAGTCTGCATTTCCAGGGTTCCTGGGCGATGCTGGCTGCAGGTGTTCTGGGGTACATTTAAGCAATAATTTGTAGACTCAAAAACTCTGGTGCTCATTATGGTGGGTAGAGATGTGGGAGGGGCCCAGAAAAAGGGGACTCTTCCTATCTTTACCTGTGAGGCTGACCAGCCGGGCTTAGTCTACTTCGAATGGGCAAACTCTGTACCATCAAGTGGCCAGAACAGCTGATTCTCCCCTGAGAAACAGAAAAGAAACATGATTCAAGTAAGAAGAAATCCACATTTTCAAAAATTTAAATAATGATTTCTTTACCAGAACAGTATGTTTTTTGCTTTTGTTTTTTGCTAACAGTGATGATTTTTCTTTGCTCTAGAGGAATAAAAACAATATGTCTTATTTTTTTCATGTATGCCTGTATGCATGTTTACATTTATGTGAGCACATGTGAGTTCAGGTGAACCTATATATATGTGTACGTGTATGGGTGTGTGCGTCGAGGCCTGGGTGGATGTTGAGTCTTCCTCCAGTGTTCCACTTTATTCACTGAGGCAGAGTCTCTCGTTTGAAACCAGAGCTCCCAGATGTGGCTGGTCTGACCAGCTAGCTTGTTCCAGGATCCTTTGTCTCTACCTTCCAAGGCTTGAATTACAGGTGGTCCCCCACACCCAGTGGCATTTAGGTGGGTTTTGGAGTTCTGATCCAGTCTTCATACTTGCACAGCAAGCCCTTTAAAAATATGACTTCAGGGGGCTGGAGAGATGGCTCAGCGGTTAGGAGCACTGGCTGCTCTTGCAGAGGACCTGAGTTTGGTTCCCAGCACCCACATGGTGGCTAACAACCATCTGTAATTCCAGTTCCAGGGGATCTGATGCCCTCTTCTGGCCTCCATGAGCATTTCATGATACAGGTGACTTTCGGGTACATGCAAGCAAAACACTCATACACATAAAGTATAAAGAAACAAACAAAATTAAAAATAAACAAATAGAAAATAAAAACATGACTTAAAATTTTTATTTGTAAGGCCAGGTGTGGTGTGCATGCATTTACTCTCATCACTTGAGAGGCAGAGGTGGGAGATCTCTGCAAGTTCCAAGACAGCCAGGGGTATACAGTGAGACCCTGTCTCAAGATACAAAGCAAATTCACAAAAAAACTCAAAAAATGCTTTTTGCCTTTATCGTTATGGGGTGGGGGCAGGGGCATGCACCATAGCAATTGTGTGGAGGTCAGAGGACAACTTTGAGGAGCTGGTTCTCTCCTGCCACCTTTACGTAGGTTTTGGCACTCCAACACAAGTCACCAGGCTTAGGCATCAAATACCTTTCCCACTGAGCCATCTCTTTAGCCCAATGTGACTTTTAACGTCACTGTTAATATTTCAGGGGGAGAGGTTTGGAAGGAGATTGTGATGATTTTGACTTTCATCAGAGAAATGAGCAGAGCACAGATATAGAACTGTTTTTAATTCCTTTGAATGTGACACTATTTGCAGTGACAATGTGGAGAACTGAACATTTCCACAACCCTCTTACAATTAGTCAAAACTACATTTCAGTGAGAAGAATAGATGAAAATAGAAATCAAATTATAGTTCCCTGAGTGTGGAGGCAGAGGCAGGCAGATCTCTGTGAGTTCGAGGCCAGCCTGGTCTACATAGTGAGTTCCAGGCCAGCTGGGGCTACAGGGAGACCAGGTCTCAAAAAAGAAACCAAAAAACCAAAACACACACACACACACAAACACACACACACACACACAAATTATAGCTCAATACTTTTTATTTGAGTGTTAATTAAAGATAGTCTTTCCTATCTTTTAGGGGAATTTAAAAACTTGTCATCACTTAGAAGAGTGAAAATGACCCTCCAACCATTAACAAAAAGAAAAAAGAATGAAAAATAGGATATAAGTTTGAGGGCTATTTAAAGCCTTTTTGAAGTAATTTATTCTCTATGTTTCTTTTTGTTTTGTTTTGAGATAGTCTCCTGTTTTCCAGGTGATCTTGAATGTCTGATCCTCCTTGCTTCTGCCTCCCACCATGTTTGTTTTTATGTGGTTCGGAGGACCAAGCCCAGGCCTTTGCGCATGCCGGGCAGGCACCCTAATAACTAGGCTACTTCCCTGGCCCCATCAATGTCTTTTGACAGAAGCAGAGCTCAGTGACTCCGCCTAGTCTTATAACCAGCTGGCTGGTCTTGTGACCTCCCCGTTATACCCAGTCACAGTGTTTCTCATTCATTCTCCACATCTCAGAGACTCATTCACAATGACAGCATCCCTCCCTCAGAGTGCAGCCTGCATCCCCACCTGAGGGTTGGCTGCCATGATGGTGTAGTTGCCATCATCATCACTGGTGGTGGATTTGATGTGCAGAGAACATGTCCCATCCCCTTCTCGCCTCATTTTGCAGTGCTCGTTTCTCTTGGAAACCTGCTTCCCATCTTTGAACCAGTAAACCTGAAGTGAGAGATAATCAAAAAGATGTACTGTTCTTTAGTAAGGGTATACTATTCTTGGTAAAGAACAGGGGTGGGGAGAGTAGGTCGAGACAAAGGTCAAATACTATCTGAATAATAAGGCACTCCTAACTTTGAAAAAGCTATAAAGCACATTCAAAATTACCTTATAATATGCACCCACCTGTATCTACAGCACTTAAGCAAAAAATTCAATATAATTGAGCACTATGATAAAGATTTTGACTCTCTTTATTGTACCTCATAATTGGTCTAAAAATAAGGACCAGATGTGTCCTCAAAGGCAAAATACTGAAAAGCAGGGATTATCCTATGTAAGATCAAGTCTCCAACAGCTGCAGGTGTGAGCACCTGGAATAGTTCACCTTGCTTGAAAGGATAGCTGGTTTATTAAACCAAATAGAATGAGGCTAGGGTCACATCACTAAATGTCACCCAGCTAAACTGATGCGCATAAGTGTTTGCTTGCATGTTAGTGATCACGTGTGTGCAGTGCCTGAGGAGGCCAGAGGAGGGCGTGTGACACACCAAGTGGGTGCTGGGAACTGAGCATGGGTCCTCTTCAAGAGTACCAGTGACTTTTAACTGCTGAGCCATCTCTCCAGCCTCTAAATATACATATTTAATACGCATGCTTTCAACAGTTGGTCCTGCAGGTGTGAAGGTAGTCTCTTAAAGGCCATTCGGATAAAGCATTGACTGTGGTGGTCCTCGGGTCCTCCTCTACTTCTCCTTGGTTACCTAACTACCCATGACAGTGTGGTTCTGAGAGCAGATCCCTGCCACAGCCAGACCAAGTGCAAATCCTTCTCTTAGCTGACTGCCAAGGAATGTAGTGACTCAGGATTTTTCAGCAGCCAGTGACAATGATAGGGCATTCTTGGCATTCACTAACCCAATAGCAAGGACACCAAAATAGCATGCTTTGTGCAACAACAGGCACCCTGTAGATGTTCACTAGTTACTAAGCACAATGAAAGAATACTAACTGATGAGTTTGATGGCTGAAAGAATCAATGGCCCAAAATAAAGCATCGTGACTAAAAAATCTTTTAAAGTTTTATTAAGATGCTAACAAGGCTGGGCATGCTAGTTGCTCGCACGCTTTTAATCCCAGCACTCAGGAGGCAGAGGCAGGTGGACCTCTGCGACTTCAAGGCCAATCTTGTCTATATATTGCGTTCCAGACCAGCTTGGGCTACAGGGAGACCCTGTCTCAAAAAAAAAAAAAAAAAAAAGAAAGAAAAAGAAAGAAAGAAATAACAAGTCTGATATCTTTTTGGTCTATTCTGTTCTGGCTGCTACCTTTTTAGCTAAATTATTCAGGTTTTGCAAACTTTGAGTATTGTTTTTAATTCTCTCTACAGATACTTCACTACCGTATGACGAGCCTTTAAATTTTATTTATTTATTTATTTATTTATTTATTTATTTATTTATTTATTTATTTTTATGCGTATGAGTATTTTGCCTGCATGTAGGTAAGTGCACCCATGTGTGCAATGTCCATGTGGGTGGAAGAGGACACTGGATCCCTTGGAACTGGAGTTAAGGACTGTTAGCCACCATGGGTGCTGGGAATCTAACCCAGATCCTCTGCAAGATCAGCCAGTGTTTTTAACTGCCAAGCCATTTCTCCAGTCCCAGCCTTTAAAAAAAAAAAAACCCCACAGGATTTCATGTAGCCCAGGCTGGCCTCAAACTCCTTATGTAGCCAAGGATGGCCTTAAACTTTTGATCCTTCTAAGTGCTGGGATTACAGACATACATCAGCATGTCAACTTTTTTTAACACGTTGCTGGGGATTGGATCCAGGACTTGCTACCAACTGAGCTATGTCCCAAGCCTGAGACTTAAAAAAAAATTGTGTGTGTGTGTGTGTGTGTGTGTGTGTGTGTGTGTGCGCCCATATGTGTGAGGGTGCCCACTAAGGCCAGAGAGGGCATCAGATCTCCTGGAGTTGGAGGTACAGGTGGTGTGAGCCAGCCAATGTAGGTAACGGGAACTGAACTCCAGTCCCCTGAAAGAGCCCTCTTAACTAAGCCTTCTCTCCAGCCCCCACAAGGCTATTTTGTCTGGTATGTGGAATTGTAAGAAATATTAAATATCAGTCTTATACGTTGAACACTGTAACATTTGGGTTTAGGCCAAGGAATTCAAATCTTTTAGTTGCCCCCTCTCCTTGTGAAGCTTTTATTGATACAAGAGCCCCTCCTACGTTCCGAAGCCAGATGCCTGGGGTGACTGAGCCCTTCCCCTTGCATCCAACTCCTTTCCCCTTTCTTATTTCTCGGTACCAATTCTTCTAAAACTAGTCAATCACGAAAGACTGTGAGGTCAGACCCCAGGCCATTGGGGAAAGACACAGTACTCATGTGTTAGAGATAAATCCCTATCAAATTTCTGGGTTGGGTGTGCTCACTTGATCTGAATGACACATCATACCCTTTTGCAAAAGTAAAAGTTGCCTTGCCCAGTTACTTTTGCTTTTGTCTGTGTGGCTTTTTTTGTGCTGTATCAGTGAGGTCCTTGGACCTCAGATTTTATTTCTAACAGGGAGGCAACCCAGAGCCTTGCCTATCTACCGCTGAGCTACATCCTAGCCCCAGTGAGGCTCTCCCAAGTTCTGAGCTGTCGGTAGCCAACTGGTAGGTCATCTTCCCCTACCTTTGGAACAGGTATGCCAACAATTTTGCAGGTGAAGGTGACTGGAGAACCTTCTGTCACCCGGAAGTGTTTGAGTCTTTTGTCAAAGATGGGTGCTATACACTTGCCCGTGGGGATCTCGTCATGTTGGATCTCATCATCCGATTCATCCACAGGTGTACGCTCCAGGCGAAACTCGATTTCATTCATCAGCCTCTGTTCAAAGCTTGAAATTTTATACTCCTGTAAAAAGAAGGATATGTTGGACTTCTAATTAAAAAAATCATTTAATATTATTATTATTATTATTAGTGTGTTGTTTGTATGTTGTTTGGGTACATACATGCCAGGGTACCAGTGTGGTCAGAGGACAACTTTGTGGAGTCAGTGCTCCTTCTACCTTTATGTGGGATCTAAGGATTGAACTCAGGTTGTCAGGCTTACCTGTTGAGCCATCTCACAGGGTCTAACCTCCTAATTTAAAACAATATATTTTATTTATTATTTTTATTTTATGTATATGAGTGTTATGCCTACATGTAGGTAAGTGCACTCGTGTTGTGCAATGCCTGAGGAGGACAGAAGAGGCTGTCAGATCCCCTGGAACTGGAGTTATGGACAGTTGTTAGGGGCCATGTGGGTGCTGGGATTCTAACTTGGGTCTTCTGCAAGAACAGTCAGTGTTCTTAACCGCCGAGCCGTCTCTCCAGCCCCAACCTTCTAATTTTTATGATAAGGAAAAATATGTCCATTGGTATAAATGAAGGTTCACTTTTTTTTTTTTTGAGACAGGGTCTCCCTGTAGCCCCAGCTGCCTTGGAACGCTCCATGTAGGGCAGGCTGGCCTCAAACTCACAGAGATCCCCCTGCCTCTGCCTCCCAAGTGCTGGATTAAGAGTGCTGGATTAAGTGCTAACACACCCAGTGTTCTCTCTCTCTCTCTCAATTTCTCTCTTTCTTTTGGGGATATAACTTTTAAAAATTCACGTTAGATTTACGCCCCCCCCCCAACCTCAATAAACGAACACAATCCATTTCTACCTTCCCCTCTACGAAGCACTATGAGTCAGTGTTTCTGTTTTCCCCTTTAACTCCCGATCCTCCTGTCTCCACCTCCCTGTGATATTACAATGTGCAGCACCATGCTCCACTTTCAGTGTTTCTATAGCCTCAAGCTACTTAGTGAACTGAGGCTGTTCACCTTGCACATGAGGAAGAATTCTGGAAGGAACGGAATGAAGATGGAATGCAATTTCCCTAACTACTACAGCATCCATTTATACAGGCAGAGCTGCCTGTGGGGTATTTTGGCAAAGCTCTTCTGCACTGTATTCTGGTACATTTCTGTACCACTGGCTTCCTGTCTCCACTGGACATTTCCATCTGTACAACTGAGGAAAGTCCACCTTGAATAAATCTCTCTTGACACCATGTGACAGTATGGTCTACTTGACAGGATCTAGAATCACCTAGGAGACAAACCTCTGGGCATGTCTGTGAGGGAGTTTTTAGCTTGGGTTAACTGAGGTGGGAAGAAGACCCAGCTTAAATGTAGGCAGCACCATCCCATGGGCTAGGGTCCTGGACTAAATAAATAGGAGCACATGAGCTGAGTACCGGCATTTGTTTCTCTCTCCTTTCTGGGGGTACAATGTGACCATGCCTTCCCCACCATGAGGGGCTGTTCCTTCAAACTGTGAGCCAAAATAAACCCTTCCTCCCTAAAGTTGCTTTTGTCAATGAGAAAGGCAACCATTCACCGTCTACATCACATCTGCCTTCACTGTATGCCTCTGTTCCCTTCTCAGCTGGTCCATTTGAAGTAACTCCATGGTTACCAGACTGCTACCTCATTGCTTACCCTCCTCCAGTCTATTCCAGTTAGTTGTGTATTTCCAGTGTTCCACTGCAACTGCTCCTGTCAGGTCCCAAGTTGGCCAAACGGAACCCTGGCTTGCCTGTTCTCATCTTCCCTGACTTCTCAGCAGGAGCCAGAGGTGACTAGTTTCCTTCTGGAAACATCTTATGCTGCTGCTTTTCAGGACACATCATGCTGGTTTCCCTCCTCACTGGCATCTCGTCAGTGTTCTCTGCTCTTGGTGAGCTCTCCTCATCCCACAGCTTCGGAACTGTCCTGTGCCGAGGACCCCAAATCCATATCTCCAAACCTGTCTCTTCCCAGAATTCCCGAGTCATCTTCCCGGTGATCTGTATACTCTGTATCATGATGTTAATTGATGCCTTAAACTTACCGTGATCCAGGTGATGCACACTCAGTTTCTGCCCCTAGAGCTGACCCTAGCCTGTTCTTCCTTATCTTTGGAAATAGCCCTACTATTCGTTCACTTGGTTAAAGGTTAAACCAGTGTTTCTCACATGGTCTATGGTAAAAACCAGGTTTGAGAAGTTTTCTAAAAGCCAGACATGGTGGCACACACCTTTAATCCCAGCTCTTGGGAGGCAGAGGCAGGTGGATCTCTGTGAGATGGAGGACAACCTGGTCTATATAGTGAGTTCCAGACCAGCTGGAACTACAGGGAGACTCTGTCTTAAAAAACAAACAAACAAACAAACAAAAACTTAATTTTTTTTCCAATCTGTACTTCTGTGAAATAAAATTAAAAGTACTAAAAAAATAAAACAAAATGCATGCAATTATGTTAATAAATATATAGCATTTTCTGCTAAATTGCTATTATAGGTCCTTAATGTTCACTCTCTGTATCTCTACTTATCTCAGTGACAGCTTGCAGTCTGCCACAGGTCCTTGGGACGCACTTTGAGTGCACTAAGTTGAACGTTAAATCTAGGACTTATCCTGGATTCTTCTCTCTTTCCTCTGCCATATCTTACCTATCACCTCCCCAAAGTGGCCTCCCCAGACCATTTCATCTAAAGTAACTCCTACTCTACCTCTCTAAGTAGCGCTGGTTACTATTTAGTATATTCTTTGTTTGTTGATTGAATGACTGATCCTCTAAGGGTCAGAATATTATCTCAGCAAGAGCAAGGATCTTTAATCTTTTATTGTTGTTGTTATTATTATTTTGGAGACAGGGTCTCATGTAGCCCACGCTACACTCAAATTTTCTTTGAACTTTTGATCCTTCTGCTTTTACCTCCCAAGTACTGGGATTACAGGTGTGCAGCACCACACTCTGTGTATGAGGTGCTGGGGACGGAACCCTGAGCTCTGTGCATGCTAGGCAAGCACCCTGCCAACTGACCTGCATCCTCAGCAGAGCAGGAGCGGAGATCCTGTTTCCCTTCTGCTCTATCAGCAGGCATTGGCAGGAATGAGCAAAAATGGAATGATGTAGAGGCCATCACTGTTCAAACCTCCTAGAGGAATCTGCGGTAATGTGGTTGGGGTGTGGCCAAGGTGGTCGGTTAAACTTGGGATTCTAGTTAACTGTAACTTTATAATTTAGATGGACTTCATGGGGAGGATCCTGGGATGCTCTCAACTTATACTGAAGCTGGCTTTGAACTCACAGTCCTTTCTCAGCTTTTTAAGAGCTGAGCTTATAAGTATGTACCACTGTGCCTAGGCTTTGGGAATCTGGCCCTCCCAGTCACATCTCAGAGTAAGTAAAGTAAATCAAAAGAAAAAATGAACTCACCTGCCTCTGCCTCCCAAGTGCTGAGATTAAAGGCATGTGCCACCATGCCCAGCCTAGTCACCAATGGAATTTATTAAATTTTAATTGGATCACTCAAATTGGTTAAGATTATTCACCTTTGCTGATGTCACTGGATTCTGATTTCCTTATTTATTGTTTTTGCAGTATTGAGGATTGAACTCGGAGCCTCCTGACATGTACTCTGCCACTAAGCTCATTCCCAGCTATGTTTTTTGTTGTATTTTTTTTTTCTTAGATACAGTTTTGCCCAGGCTGGCCTCAGACTTCCAACTGACCTCCCTATGTAAATCTGGCCAGAATGGAAAGCAAATCAGTGATAAATGACTGTCTATTCCAGGCTCCTGGATTTCATAGAATTACAGTTGTATATACAAAAGAAAATGGAAAGGTAAAAATATTTAAGAGAATATACTGTTTCAAAATATAACTTCAAGGACTGGAGAGATGGCTCAGTGCTTGAGAGCACTGGCTACTCTTGCAGAGGACCCAGGTTTGGTTCCCAGCACCCACATGGTGGCTAACAACCAACTATAGCTCCAGTTCTAGGGGATCCAATGCCCTCTTCTCTCCTTGGAAGGTATTGCACACATGGGTGCACTTATATACATGCAGACAAAACACTCATGCAAATAAAATAAAAATACAATAAAATAAAAATAATCACAATTGAAAATATAGCTTCATTTTCCTTTATGTATATTCCTCTTAAGGATGATACTTTGACAACTTGAAACATTAGATTTCAGAGGTACATTTGCAGTAAGTGTCTTAAAATCAGCAGAGCGGTGGAGGGCACCTTTCTCCTGTGAGAACCTCTATATGACAAACCTCAGATAGAGACACGGCAGTACAGGGGCTGCACCTGTAACTGAGCTCACTGCCAGGCTCCTGTGCGCTGAGTTCTCAGTCTGGCTTCAGGAGTTAATAAAGAAATAGATCAAGCTTTGAGAAAGTCTGTTCAGTGTTCCCAATGGACTCTGGGTATGCTGCATGCTTAAACAAAATCTTTATTTATTATTTGTTATTATTATTTTATATTTATTTATTTTTAAACTTTAAAAAATTTATTTATTAGTTTTTTATTTTATGTGTATGCGTGTATTGCCTGCATGTAGGTAAGTGGACCTCTGCCCGCAGAGGTCAGAAGACACTGTCGGATCCCCTGGGAGTGGAGTTATGAACAGTTGTTAGTCACCATGTGGGTGCTGAGATTCAAACCCGGGTCTTCTGCAAGAACAACTAGTGTTCTTAACCACGGAGCCATCTCTCCAGCCCCTATTTATTTATTTTTATTTTATGTGTATGTGTGTAATTGCCTACACCTGTGTCGTGCAATGCCTGCGGAGGACAGAAGAGACTGTCGGATCCCCTGGAACTGGAGTTACTGGACAGTTGTTAGATGCCATGTGGGTGCTGGGATTCAAGCCCAGGTCTTCTGCAAGAACAGTCAGTGTTCTTATCCACTGAGCCATCTCTTCAGGCCCCTGTTATTATTATTGAGGCAGGGTCTCATTAGGTAGCCCTGGCTGGCCTAGAACTTCGTCTGTAGATCAGGCTGTCCTTGAACTTACAGAGGGATCTGCCTGCCTCTACTCTCAGAGTACTGGGATTAAAGGCATGCACCACCACACCCAGCCTATATATTTTTTGAGACAGGGTCTCACGTACCTCAAATTTATTAGGTAGCTGAGGATGACCTCGAACCAGAAGGAAACACAGAAGAAGAAGAAAAAGAGAAAGTTGTCTACTGTGCAACACGACAGAAAGATATTGTATATCCACAGCCAATTAAAGAGACAGAACACTAAGGGAAACAGCATGCAGTGAGGGGACTCTGGAGCTAATCTTCTAGAGCTACCCAGAAAACAATCTGTGATATAGAAATAAATTACGTTAGATTATGAAATGTAAAACTGTTTTACAAATAAGAGTATTAATCCCAGCACTCGGAAGGCAGAGGCAGGCGATCTCTGTGAGTTCAAGGCCAGCCTGGTCTCCATAGCGAATCCAGGTCAGCTAGGGCTACAGGGAGACCCTGTCTCAAAAAGACCAAAAAAAAAAAACCAAAAAACCGCAAAAAACAAAACAAAACAAAAAACCCAAAACAAGAGTACAAATAAATAGCTCAAAGAAGCAAATGGTTTATTTTTGGTTTGTTTTTTAGAGACAGAGTCTTATATAGCCCAGGCTGGCCTTGAACTTGCTACGTAGCTGAAGATGGCTTTGAACTCTTGATCCTTGTGCTCTCACCTGACAAGTGCTGGGATTACAAGTATATACCACCATGCCCAGTTTATGCAGGAAGGCAGATCTCTGTGAGTTCAAGGCCAGCCTGGTCTACACAGTGAGTTTCAGGCCAGCTGGGGTTACAGGGAGACCCTATCTCAAAAAGAACAAAAATAAAAAATAAATAAGTGCTGGGGACCAAACTGAGCCCTCTGTACATATTAGGCAAGTGCTCGCTCACTGAGCTATGCCCCAGCCTGCATTCTTTGCCCTCTTCTCCACTCCATTTCCCTTCCCTCTCCTTCCTTTTTCTTTTTTAAATTTTTTTCTGCTTTTATTTTATGTGTATGAGTGTTATGTATGCATATAGGTAAGTGCACCTCTGTTATGCAGTGCCTTTAGGGAACAGTAGAGGGCTTTGGATCCCCTGGAACTGGAGTTATAGACAGTTGTTAACCACCATGTGGGTGCTGGGATTCAAACCTGGGTCTTCTACAAGGGCAGCCAGTGCTCTTAACTATTGAGCCGTCTCTCCAACCTCCTCCTTGTACTGAGGGTTAAACTCATGGCTTCATGGATGTACTCTGACACTGAGCTACATCCTCAGCCCTTATTATGTCTACTTTTAAAACTGATCTTTATTATATCTATCTCTATCTCTATCTATCTATCTATCTATCTATCTATCTATCTATCTATCTATCTATCTATGTATCTATCATCTATCTATGTATCTATCTATGTATCTATGTATCTATCTATTATCTATCTATCTATCATCTATCTATCTATGTATCTATCTATCTATCATCTGTCATCTATCTGAGTTCATCTGTGGAACTCAGATGCACTGGGAGATTGGAGCACATCCTGTGTGGCCAACGAGGGACTCCCGGGTAGTCTGTCCTATACAAACACCTATAACACAAGCAAGCTGACTTAGTCGCTGGAGTAACCCACAGCTCCAGCTCTCCACAGACAGGTTTCCTATGTGGCTCTTGGTCTGCACTCTGCCCTCTAAGCTGTGGTACCATCCTTACAGGGTCAGATGACCTCCGCACCCAAGGACTGAACTAAAGAGTTATAGTCCTTAAGTAAAGCTCTGCCCACCCACCTGAGTCCTCCATTCTCACCTGCTGGTGTGACCTGACATCACTGAAACTCATTTTCTTTCCCAAGTCCAGAATCACTGCATTCTTAGTTTCTCGAATGTAATCATCACTTGTTGCTTGAGAAGACTTGGTGGTTTTTTTCATCAGTCCCTGGGATGGTCTGTAGAATGAAGTCACATGTGACACACCCATGGAATTGCTGGTCAGTGTACAAAGACCCAGAACAGAATGGGTAAAATAATAGCCTGATGCAGCACTCGGGGGATTAAACCCCGCTTGTAGAGGCATTGTATTATATTCCATTTTGTTATTTTATGACAGCATCTCCTGTAGCCCAGGTTGGCCTTGAACTAGCTATATAGTCAAGGACGACCTTGAACTTCTGATCCTCCTGCCTTTACCTTCAGTGCTGAGGTTCCAGGAGTATGCCACCATGCCCAGTTTATACCATGCTGGGGATCCAACCCAAGACTTCCTGTACGCTAGGCAAGCACCCATTGAGCTACGTTACCAGCCCCTCTTAATTTTAATTAAAAAATAAGTTATTTCCCTTTGTCCTGAGGGAATCATATCCACACCTGTGAGATAAGATTACCTCAGAATCCACTCAACCAGAGTCTTGTCCTGCACCAAGCTATTCTGTGCCTGCGTCCTCTCTTAATTGTTATCTCATCATCAGGAAACCTTAACGGCACTTACACAGATGGTGCGCTTTTTGGCAGTCCCATGGCGTTGGTGGGTGGGTTGACTGGGAGAGAAGGCAGGACAGAGCTGAGGAAAGCCGCTGGGTTCTGAATCCGGCTGGTAGGAGAGACAGGAGTTGGGGACACACAGTGGGGCTGAAACTGGTTTCCGCTGGGGCTGGAGAATGTGAGTGGCGGTGCTGCTGGCTCTGCTGGGCCTGGAGGAGTTGGCTCGTTTGGGACGGAAATTCCACCTGGAGATTTGGCTTGCATAGAGGGGTGAGACAGTAAGAGGCTTTCTTTGCTAACTGTCCTCTGAATTGTTTGAGGCATATTGTTCAAGGTGAACACGGGGGAGCTGGATGGGGATGTCGTGGCGGCGCTGGAGGTGGGGAAGAAATGCTTCGGCCGTGCCAAGTTGAATGTCTGTGATGCAGGGACCTTCACCTGCTTGCTGGACATGGTCACTGCCGGGGAAGCGACGGAGTTCAAGACACTCATGTTGAAAGGAAACTCTTTAGGCGAAGGAGGAGATGGGTTTTGCAGTTGCTGCTGTTCCAATAATACTTGATTATGAAGCTGTTGTAACTGCGTGGAATCACTGCACACAAAACACAAATGGGAAGAGAAGAGGGACATGTTACCCTTGGCCTCACCTTTCAGAAAACCCACAGACTAGGCTGGGGATTTAACTCAGTTGGTGGAGTGCCTGCCTACCATGAGTCCTTGGGTTCGATCCCCAGTGTGGAATAAATTGACTATGGAGGTACAGGCCTGTAATCCCAATACTCAGGAGATAGAGCCAGGAGGATGGGAAGTTCAAGGTCATCTTTAGAGTGAGTCTGAAGCTAGCATGGGCTATAAAAGGCTACATGAGATCATGGGGGGGGAGAGAAATATATACTGTTCATAACTTGGTGCTGATTTCAGGCACACAGAGTGGCGAGATTGGGGACAGAAGCTGGGGTTGGTGCAGGCTAGGCATGTGCTCTACTGCTAGGACTCTCACTCCTGCCCCTAGCCCTCTGGCTTGTTCCAAAATCAACCTTACAGAGGAAGTGGAGTGTGTCTGAATGTTTCCCACCTCTAGACAGTATGTCCCTATTCATTCAAGGTGGTGTTGGTGAACACCTTTTGCAAACTCAGTGTAATCAATACAATATTCGTTTTCACTCTCAAAAGAGTTCTACTTTGAAGCTGGGTGGTGGGACATGCCTATGATTGCAGCATGTGAGAGTTGGAAGCAAGACTGGGACTTCAAGGCCAGCCTCAGCTGTGTATCAAGTGTCAAACCTTGTCTTAAAACAAAAAGTGCGCTGGGTGTGGTGGTGCACACCTATAGTTCCAGCACTTGGGAGGCAGAGGCAGGTGGACTCTGTGAGTTCAAGGCCTGCCTGGTCTACACAGTGAGTTCCAGGCCAGCTGGAGCTACAGGGAGACCCTATCTCAAA